ATAAACCCCTCATTCTGGTGACACTTGCCTTTCCCCTCCAACCTGGGATTTGACCTGATGACTGTAGTGATCCGAGTACAGCCACTACTTAGACCGCTACAATGAAAGGAACCGCATATACTGCCTGTACCCAACTACGGCCGATCGACGGCATTTGGCGGATTCAAATCAATAAATACATTTCCGGCAACCTCGAAGATCTTGGAGACCTTGCTCAAAAAACAGATGATTGTCGCTTAACAGAGAAAAATCTAATTAATGCGGCTCAGCATGGGTTTCTCGAAAGATGATCTTGTGTAACCTACTAGCTCTCTTTCTCTGACCATGTGGTACAATCTATAAACAGTGGCTTTGCCCTTTACACAGTTTATTTTGATTTCACTCAGGCCTTTGATCGTGTTGACCATGATCTCCTCCCCCTGAGACTTACCCCTTTCGGCATAGATAACAAGCTTCTAAATTTAATATCCTCCAATTTGTACGCTCGCACACAACGGGTTAAAATTTACAATGTTATCATCGACCCAACGCATGTGAGGAGCGGAGTTATTTAGGGTACCATACTTGGCCCACTCCTATTTTGCCTTTTTTCAATGGTTTTCCTGATGGTTTTCAGAATGTTCGGCTCTTTGTGTAAGCTGACTATTTAAACTTTGCCTATCAATATAAACCGGCAGATCGCAACATCGTGCTCGAGCTCATAAAAAGAATCTGCAGGCCTTCGCCTAGTGATGCTGCACATGGCGCCTTTCATTTTCTTGACACAGATGTCCCTTGTGGTTTTTGGCGACCATCATCGGCCTGAATTAAGCATAATCGGTCACGACGTAAATGTTCCTTGAGCTATTTAGGATCTGGGCATATCATATTCTAACAGTCTTAATCTTTCAGAGCACTGCACCCTGGTTGTCTCAAAAACAAGCCGAACGACCGGATTTATTTTCAGGACTTTTAAAGCCATCAAGTTTAGCACCAGCCTTTGTAAAATGTACGGTGCTCGTTTCCATTTCTACTTCTGGGCGCTATTGAACGGAAGAAAATAGAATCGGCTAAGCGGGAGAAGTGGCGGGAGTCGAAAACCGAAATCCAGAGGAGCTCCAGTACAGTGAACGGGGAAATTATCACCACCCAGAGGTCGTTCCTCTGGAGACAGGCAATAACGCTGAGTTTTACAAAAAAACACTAGACTTAAACGCGGACAATAAAGTAGATAATCCGCAAAAATACTTCCGGCTACCCCGCCGCACAAATCGCCCGGAAACCTATACAGACGAAGCCCGGCTTTCTTTATACGAACGCACAGAGTTTGCTTCAGTGTGTGTAAAGTATGTGTAGCTGACCTACAGCCGGGTGCCACCTCCATTACAGGGACCTGGTTACAGGCCTACGTAATGGATGCCGAAATTTTGCCCGGTAATTAAGCACTTTTTTCGTCTGGACCGGATAGCAATGAAGTTCTGTTTGCAAATGATATCAAGCTATGGCAACCTATCGGAAACACATTTGCAAGAAGTACTTGACCGTCTACATGGATGTTCACAATATGATTAATGTGGTTTAACTTTGGGAAGCGTGCCATACTGTGGTTCACAACGAAGAAGGCCAGCAAGATGGGCGGCTTTCATAAAAACTTACTTTATGGCAGATGCCTGTTAAACGTAACCGAAAAAAGACAGGAATCAACATTGTGCCATCTCTGAAGCCTCCTTCGCAATGTGTTTGGGCTGCCAAGAGGGCGATCACCGTTAACTTTACCATTAAAACATTTTTTGTTGATATCGATAAAGACATAGTTGGAAGAGATATGGGACCTTTTTTCGCTCATATCTAAAACATGGAGTTCGGGCGTGGCGTCCGTGGCTGCAAAAAGACTACAAGCTACTGGAATAAGCAAAAAGGAGCGCAACAAGGGTTGTAAAGGGCCTAAAGTCTTTATCTTACGAATGCAAAATTGAAGTACCTAAGCTTTTTCCTCTTGAGCACAGGCAAATCCGAATTGAGCTCACAGAGACAGAGTGGATCGTAAGGAATCGGGACTGTGGCCTGCAGTTTGGTGACTTCTTCGCATTCGCCGCTTCAGATAACATTCTCGGAAATTCCCTTATCCCATCTGGACGTCCTTAGTAATTAATTTTCACAGCGAGTGATCGGTGCCCGGAACGGACTGCCCGAAGAGGTCATAATTACTTACTTGGCAGATATGTAAACGCATTCTTTATGTATATTTACTTAAGAGACACCGCTTATATGCATGGGATAACACTTTTATAATAAATAAATAAATTTTATATTTTAGGCCCGGAGGGCCTCGTCATTG